CAGCCCATTTGATACGGCTGTACAATCGCTGGAGATCCCAAAACCACAATTAGCATGGTCAAAAAGATTTTGGATTCGTTTACTCCACATTGGCGGTTCCACACGTCCATAAATGATCAAATCAATGAGTTTCCTACTTCTAGTTGTGGGGAAGTGCGGTTCAGAAGCTGTAGGCGCCCTTCACTGCCCCCTATCGTCTGGGAGAATTTTGACCCAGCGCCTCCAAACGATGCGGAATACTGTGCGGGGCGAAATGGAAACGAAAAAAAACAAAAAAAATTGTATCCCAGTGCGTGTTATGATATATTTTTGTGTCAGTGTAAACGGCATCCTCTCAGTTTCACTTTCACAAATAAAAAACAAAATAACAAAGCGGGTCATCTTCCACGTACGGCGACGCGTGATCTGGAAGTTGCGATTGTCTGCAATTGCGACGTGCGATCAGAGGTGTTGCAAGATATCTTTTTTTCGTAATTCTTCTTCTCATTGAATGTTTGTTTCATGTCCAATTCACTGATGGCACTGGCAAAGAAAGGAAGCCTTTTGAAACGCTACACTAAACATGTTGCAAAAGTGCATCCCGTGCCTCCACGTCCGGCCTCTACCAAAGGTAGGCAGTGATTTCCTTTTCACAATTTCACAAACTCTTGTCGCTACTTTGCTTGATGCGTATGTGCGCGTGTGCGTGTCTGCGTATAACGGGTCGATCGGGGAAGACTGGCTGCTTGAAAAGTAGGTCTTGGGTCCAAGAAGGTTGCGCGGCCCTGCATGAGATTGTGCTGGGGTCCCTCGTGTGACGTCCCAAAGACAATATATGACGCCGACTTTTCTCGAGGCACGACATTTACATGCGGTTTAACACTTCAAGTCCAACTTTATTGTCAAATGCGCTACTTGCCAGTTGAGAAGTTAAACCTCCATAAATCCGCCGCCGTATCATGCAACGGCCCCGCATTCACGCGAGAGGGATACGCAGAGCTCGCAGGAACGTAGGTGGTCGACTGTACCCTTGCATGACATGGAAACGAGAAGGAATGTTTCAAGCGGGGCCCCCTTTGAAATCAGCAGGATGTGGAACAAACTCGGCAGTCCCACATTTCTCTCATTTCTGCAGCGCGGAGAACAATGCGACTGCCGAGGTAAATCCCATAAGTTGTTGTTTTGGTTCTGGATCTGTTTACACAAGGATGCGCCATCTATAAAAAGGGCTCCCTCGCTCAAAGCCTTTGAGGCTTTTGAAGCCATCATTTTATGCAGATTTTGTTGATGATGTGCGCTCGTACCCATGAACAGCGTGTATTTGTATACAATATTTCGGGGAGGTGAAGGGAGCTGCAAGGGCGCTATCTGCCCTGTCACCTTGAATTTCTCTCGGCGGCCAAACGGGAAGAAGGGAAGGCTCGGCGCTTCCTCCTGCGTCGAAGGCTGGGTTTTCCATGCCCGCCGCATCTACTCTTGCTGACAAAATAAGCGGAAATATCAATAAAAATACACAGAGAGACACGAAGGAGGGATGCGGGCGTCGGGTCAAACGGGCCCATTGTAAAACAAAGCATCTTTGGAGGCAAAATATTGCCGTTGCTGAGTTGTCTGCCCCCACAACGTTCTCACGCATCCTCCTCGGTTGACACTAAAACACAATTAGGTTCAAATTAAATCAGAATCTTGCAGGAAGAGGAGGGGGTGGGGAAGGCAGAAGAAGAAGAAGAAGAAATGATTAAAATAATTACAAATTGCGCCCTGACAAGCAAGAGCAAAATTTAGCCCAAAGCCATTTGTCTGTAATTAGTTAATTAATCCTTACACAAATTATGAGCAATAACTCATCAAGCAGGACTCACCCATCAGAAATTCAGCCGACTTGGATTTCTTCTGCTTAGGTTGCTGCGGAGCCTTCTGCTGTAACTTCTGGAGGGAAATTGTGAAATGAATAAATTAGCTGCGGAATGAAGATCATCATTTATGATCCGCAACTAACGCAGTATTTTAAATATGGGACGACACTGAAATGTCATTTAATTTACATCGCCGCTAAAGGGGTCAAGCGCTAATTGAACAACAGGAGTGGAAAAGAAAAATTCATCATAAATAGATAAGAAAAGTTGACATGAATGTGTAATGAAGGTCACATTAAAATATGTCCTCCTTGTTCCCGTTTTTTTTCTCCCCCCCCCGCCCGCCTCTTTTTTTTTCTTCTTCTTCTTTTAATGAACAGGCAACAACATAACATTCTCTCTTGGAAAATAACGTACACAAGCGACACAGGAGCAGCAGCGACTCGACTCGTGTGAGCATCGGGATGGAGCTGCGGTACAGACAGCACGTCGTGAGCCGTTGCGTTGGAAAATACATATGAGTTTGCATTGTGGAAAGTACACTCACGAGCCACACCATTTGATACGGCTGTACAATCGCTGGAGATCCCAAAACCACAATTAGCATGGTCAAAAAGATTTTGGATTCGTTTACTCCACATTGGCGGTTCCACGCGGCCATAAATGATCAAATCAAAGAGTTTCCTACTTCTAGTTGTGGTGAAGTGCGGTTCAGAAGCTGTAGGCGCCCTTCACTGCCCCCTATCGTCTGGGAGAATTTTGACCCAGCCCCTCCAAACGATGCAGAGTACTGTGCGGGGCGGAATGGAAACGAAAAAAACAAAAAAAATTGTATCCCTGTGCGTGTTATGATATATTTTTGTGTCAGTGTAAACGGCATCCTCTCAGTTTCACTTTCACAAATAAAAAACAAACTAACAAAGCGGGTCATCTTCCACGTACGGCGGCGCGTGATCTGGAAGTTGCGATTGTCTGCAATTGCGACGGGCGATCAGACGTGTTGCAAGATATCTTTTTTCATAGTTCTTCTTTTCATTGAATGTTTCTTTCATGTCCAATTCACTGATGGCACTGGCAAAGAAAGGAAGCCTTTTGAAACGCTACACTAAACATGTTGCAAAAGTGCATCCCGTGCCTCCACGTCCGGCCTCTACCAAAGGTAGGCAGTGATTTCCTTTTCACAATTTCACAAACTCTTGTCGCTACTTGAGCTCCATTTCAACGTCAGTTGGTCGTTATTAAGAATGGGGCAGTGGACTCACTCTTTTGTTTTGTTTTTTTTTTTCACAATTTCACAAACTCTTGTCGCTACTTTGCTTGATGCGTATGTGCGCGTGTGCGTGTCTGCGCGTGTGCGTATAACGGGTCGATCGGGGAAGACTGGCTGCTTGAAAAGTAGGTCTTGGGTCCAAGAAGGTTGCGCGGCCCTGCATGAGGATTGTGCTGGGGTCCCTCGTGTGACGTCCCAAAGACAATATATGACGCCGACTTTTCTCGAGGCACGACATTTACATGCGGTTTAACACTTCAAGTCCAACTTTATTGTCAAATGCGCTACTTGCCAGTTGAGAAGTTAAACCTCCATAAATCCGCCGCCGTATCATGCAACGGCCCCGCATTCACGCGAGAGGGATACGCAGAGCTCGCAGGAACGTAGGTGGTCGACTGTACCCTTGCATGACATGGAAACGAGAAGGAATGTTTCAAGCGGGGCCCCCTTTGAAATCAGCAGGATGTGGAACAAACTCGGCAGTCCCACATTTCTCTCATTTCTGCAGCGCGGAGAACAATGCGACTGCCGAGGTAAATCCCATAAGTTGTTGTTTTGGTTCTGGATCTGTTTACACAAGGATGCGCCATCTATAAAAAGGGCTCCCTCGCTCAAAGCCTTTGAGGCTTTTGAAGCCATCATTTTATGCAGATTTTGTTGATGATGTGCGCTCGTACCCATGAACAGCGTGTATTTGTATACAATATTTCGTTTCAAAGGAGAAAATCAAGGGGTAAAGTGGGGAGCGGGGGGCTGGATCGATGCCCGTCTAATTGTCACTGATTTAAAAAACATTTTCTTTTTGACGGGGGACCAATCAGTTTTCCGAATGACAAAGACTCGGCGACTGCACGCAGGCAAATGCGGCGTCAGTGCTACGGCGGTCGCTTTTCCATCACGTTCTCATGTTCACGACACGTACGCATCCGTGCGGCCAAGACGAAGGCATCGCGTTTGGATGCACCTACAACTCTGATGAGAAAATTAATCAGGTCATTTTTGCTTTTGCATTTGGGACATTTTCGCTTGCTATTAATTCTGACATTTTATACATCAATATTTTTGTAAACTCTCTGGGATGCATCATTTTAAAATTCCGGAATTTCGGTCAAAAAAGAGCAAAACAGTGTGTGTGTGTCATCCTTCTTGCATACAATCGGCAAAGCTAACAGAAGCTATTCTAGCCTTGAACCACCCAATGCTTTGTGGAAACTGCAAAGAGACAGTTATCGCTATGCTACGATTGCTCTTGTTTTCACTTGAGTACCTTCATTTTCAGAATGATCTCATGACTGGTATTCGAGCCATCGGGACAAACGTATGCGATGCGTTTTGTTCTCCATTGACCATCATATGATCTCAGATCTTTATCGTTTACGTTCGTTTCTGCTTGTCTGGCAGAAGTCACGCGGCGTACAACTCGGTGTCGGAGCTCCATTTCAACGTCAGTTGGTCGTTATTAAGAGTGGGGCAGTGGACTCACTCTTGTTTTGTTTTTTTAAAATCCGTTTGCCTCGGTTTTCACCGCTTATTCAC